CCTAATATGTGTTCTACCAAGATGGAAATGGATCTCATTACACTGTAAGTTCCCATTTCTAACTCTCATTCCTAACAGTAGATCTTCGCTATTTTCCAGCTTTCTGCTTCGGTTTCTTAGACTGTTTGGATCATTGACATAGTTTATTTTTTGTCATTATAGTGGTACCCGAGGCTTTTCATTTATAGAGTACTATGCTGTTTTGTATTTTGCCTCTATTTGATATGCTTTATGTTGGTCATAGTAGATAGAAGTTGGATTTGCAACTGCCTCCCTCTAATAAGTTTCAATAATAAACCTGATAGTACAAAACTCTCCTACCTTGCTGCATTTTTGCAAATTTCCTCACTTCATGTTCGTCATGTTCCTCCTTCCATGGTTCCATTGCCTTTTAAAAAGAAACAAATTCTATGTATCGAATGCATCGTATCCAAACGTTCTGCAGAGTTAGTCTTGAGTTTCGACCTCATACAATTGAACTTTGAATGCATATTAATTTGGCGTACTCTAATTTTCATACGACTATCTCATTTAAACCCCTTTGTTTCCTTTTGAAAATTGTCTGTCAATAGATTTTGGAATCAGATTTTACATGGGTTTGTTGGATGGTGATCTCGTTGGATCCTGAATTAGAAAGGGAAATGCTATCAGTTCTGATATTTACTTTATGATTTCCTGCACGGTTGCTTATCATGTTTGTTGTCCTCAGTCGGGTCACTATGAACTTAATGGTATAATTGATTTACCTGATCTGTGATAATTGCATGAAGATCAGACATTTCTCATAGGTTTTTCTTATTATTTTTTATATTGTTACAGCGTGCATGGGATGGTATATGGAAGCAAGAAATGGAACAAGTCAAGCTTCTCGATTAAGGGATTACCTTACCAATCCCTATTGCTGACTTTTTTCATTCAACTTCCCATCCGTTCAGTGTGTATTTTGGTTTTGCTTAATCATGACCTCGCAGTCTTTCCGATCTGGAATCTGTATCTCTGAACCATGCTATTTATTTTGGATTTCTTATTATGCAAGATTAATGGTTGTTACATGCTACCCTTTGTTGTTTCTCTACTCCATTTGGCAATGTTGTTTCCCATTCCCAATTACCCTTCCAGCCCCATCATCATTTTCCTATGTTGCATCTGTTGCTGCACCTGAAGTTGGCCATGATGCTGTTTTTTAACCACTTGACTAGCCAAATGTAGTTCGAATTCTAACATAGTAGCTTTCAAATGGGAGAGTGGGTTCAATATTGTTATACAAAGGTTGTGATGATAGTGCATTTTGCCTTATGAACACACTTATAAATTGTGGTGGTTTCCGTGAAGGAGACCATTAATTGATTGAATTTTTTTTTTACGATGGTTGATTGAGTTTATGGACACAGTCCTCTAAATTGCCAAGCCTCTTCACTACTTATTAGAGAATATGATATTGCAACAACTTAAGTCCCCTGACGTAGCTGTGGGTGTTGATTATAGTGTATAAAATGTCTAACGATTTTTGTTATAATTATACTGTTTTTACATATACTAAACACCACTAAATCACCCGTGGCGTAGCCGTGGGTATTGATTCTAGGAACCAATAACAATTGTGGTAATCACGGTACATGATGATTGGAAAGATTTAAGCTTTTCCTATATATCTGTAGTTCTGCATATGTTTATTTGACTCGGTTCCGTCTGTTTTCTTCTCCATTAGATCACACTCCATTCTTCTGTTTTCTGACTGGATGTACTTACTTATATCCGTTGGGATCTTGAGTTCAGTTGTGTTATGTAAGAGCCTACAATGCAAACATGAGAGTATTATTAGGAGGTTCGGCAGATTTTGCAAATATGTCAATCGTTCTTGCGGATTTATACCTACCGTGTTTCGAACGATTTGGACACTGAGCAGCATGTTTCGCATGTCATCAAAATTGTCCGAACTTCTGGGTAAAAGAAATGCCAATCTATGCTCTGTATATTCATCTAATCTCTACTCCAATTCTTCTCGAGCGAGTGCTAAAAGATGCTTGATACGCTTGTGGTTAAGCTACGGAAGGAGTAACATAATTGCAAAGGCACATTACTTCTAAACGACTGACTAGGATAGATTGCCCGCAGCATATGATTGTCGCTGGGAGTTGACAGGAATAAAATTAACAGAGTCTTACACAGAAAAGGCACATTACTTGTAAACGACTGACTAGGATAGATTAGATTGCCCGCAGCATATGATTGCCGCTGGGAGTTGACAGGAATAAAGGATAACAGAGTCTTACACAGAAGCCGACAAACATCACGAGTGAGAGTCTCTATCACCTGTTCTCGCAGCGTGCGCCCAAATAGCCAGCAGAACCTACAGAGCAACTCGAAAAGTATCATGTCGTAGCTGTAGACGTCCGACTCGAAGGTGACTCCCTCTTCGGGGCTGGCCCGCGGATCACGGTAGCTTAGGTCGTTCCCGATTGCGGCGTCGCTGTCTCGGGCGAACAGACGGCTTAGGCCGTAGTCCTAGAGGGAAGGTTCCCCGTCGTCGTGGAGGAGAATGTTTGGGGCTTGAGGTTGCCATGGACCACTCCCGCCTTGTGAAGGTGGAGCAAAGCTTTTGCGGTGCCCACGGCTACCTTCATCTTGGAAGCCCAGCTCCTCTCCGTGGCTAGCCCCGGGTCACTCTCTTCCCTATGTAAGCACGCTTATCCCATACCATACATACATACAAGTCCAAGAAAATGAATGTGTTAGAGAAGGAAATCTAAAAAAACAGGGGCAGAAATTGACAAGAATGGTTTGCTGCTACTTACGATGGAAGAGGTCGTTCAAGTTTCCGTCAGGGACGTAGTGGGAGACGATGAACTTGGAGTCATCCGAGAAGTAGTAAGCTACCAACGGGACCAGATTGGAGTGAGCTCCAATGTTTCCTAAGATCTTCATCCTCACCTCGAAGAGGTCGATCCCGACGACCACACCTTGCAAAGCTTTCACCATGAGGGGGCTGCTTCGATTGCACCTTGCGGGACTCCCCCATACTTCCGGGAGCCATCAGGGTCGCCACTCCATTGGCTAGGTCCTCCATACCAAAGGTGCCAACCTGACCACCGAAGAAAACCAGAGGGTCTTCTCCATGGCCACCAACAGCAGCTGCCTTTCCTCCGATCACGAGCTTCTGGAACTTATTGTTCAGAAATTCCAACACACTCCTTTTGCCACCACCATCGCTCCTTCCTCCACGGAGCTTCGGGAGCTTTTTGCGGAGGAAAGCCAGCACAGCCCTTACTCCCACCCTCCTCGCCTTTGGAACAGCTCGAATGAGAGAAACCATCAGATTGGTGCTGCTCCAACCATAGCTCTTTCGGTTGCCGTGGGATCTCCTTCTTCTCAATTTTTGCAAGAAACCAGCCATGGTTTGAGTGTGAGGAGGAGGAGGGGTAGAACTCTGTTGAAGAGATTCGCAATATATTAACAAGTATTGGGTAGGATGAGCTGAGCTAAAAAAAAAGTAGCTGCTGCCTGCTCCCTTTACTCTTCTTCAATGCTCTGGTTTTGCTGGCGGAAAACAGAGGGAAAACTCTGTCTTCTGTTCTGGGAATTGGTTCTTTCTACTAGAGTAGAGGGTAAATGATTCTGGCTATGGAGGCCAAAAGGTTGCCAGCTGCCAGGTGAAGGAAAATAGAGGGTAATCTTCAATGGCCTCAGCTTTTCCAGACTCAGCAGGCAAACATTCGGATGATAAACCCACCATTATTTCCCGTATCTTCAGAGTAAAAGTGCAATCCTTGAATCAGAGTAAAAGTCTCTCTCCACAATAGCAGAGTAGCAGCTAGTTACAGCCTTCACAATACTCAAAGTCTCCAACCCTCTTCTCCATGCATCCATATACTAACTTCAATTCGAAATCCCAAGTCACAGAAGCACAAGTTAGTACTTCACCAATTCATTTTTGTCTTGCTATCTACAATATCATATATATGATACTTTGTGACTGCTGTGTATTGGGGAACTGTTTCCCAGCTTAATTTCAACTCTGCTGCTGCTTCATTATAAACTGCAAATGAGTAGGAAAGATGTTTCCAGCTGGAGTTTGGTTCATGCTCCATGGAACTTCAAGGCTATGTCTGCCGGAATCTAGGCTACGAGGACTGCTGCAGCAGGGAAGTTACAGTTTGTAGGAGTTTCGTTGAGAAAACTTGAAGAAGCACTTGATTAGTTTATGTCCTCTTTTCTGGATTATGTTGCGTGATTGTGCTTCCTGTTAAAGTCCTAATTTTTTCATTGGACTTGAGATATCCTGCTGCTTTTGTTTGCATGTTAATCAGCTTAAGGTAGTTCTTTACCTTTCGAATAGCACATTTCGCAAGCCTTCACTTGCTGAGGCCAGCTTCCTCTTCTTTATCAACTACTTCACAGTCACAGCAGTGGTGGTTTAGGTTTATAGGATTCATTTTGAACCTCCAAGGTTAGTGAGTCTTATTTTGCAATTTCCCGACACAATGAATGCTGAACTCTGTCACCATAAACCTTTTTATGTATGAATATGAATGAATTCATTCCCCTTCCAGCCAAAAACACTACCGTCCCATCCTCTCAAGGCCACAAGTATGTGAGATCCACCTGCCTTCACCCATTTGGAAATCGGAACCACTAAGTCTATTTTACCAAATGTTTTCTGACACTATTTTCATTTCCAGTTTGACTAAATTGTAAGCATCAGACATATGCCAAAAGTTGCTTGAATGTACGGCCTTCAGTATTTAGGTGATCAAAGATACATGTTTCTTTATTGGATTATGAAATTTAAACGATCTGTAGTGTTGAATCGAAATAGCATTTCCATGATCTTAGACGGTAAATAATAAATAATATAAAAACAAATGACCGCCAGCGCAGAGTCTGCTTAGCTTACTAGTAATATTAGTAGTAAAAGAGCAACACATAACATAATAAAGAAACAAACAAACAAACAAAATGTGTGAAACTAATCAACAAGCCTTTTTGCTTAGGCACAAAAGTTAACACCACGTAAGCATGAAACACACTTCATCTGGGATTGCAAGGGATTGTATCGCGTCTTCAGAAATCTCCATCGAATGAGGAGCACTGCCGCCGTTATCAATCTGTATGGTCACATGTTTCAAATCACACCTCCAGCACTTACCAGTAGAAGAAGCAGCAGCGTCGCCACCACAACAGTCAGGAATTCGGTGGTTTCGGTTCACCAATACCCTGCACATGTGCTGTTGTTGCAGAAGCAAACATTGTTGTTTATAATTAGTACTCGTCGCTTTGGTACATACATACATATTCCGATCCAAAATTATACCACAAATGAGAGATCATATGTATGTACCTCACAAAAGAGCTTGTAGCCAGACTTGTTTTGGGTGCTCTTGACCAATATGAACTGCGGACGGCACATCCAGAACACACCATCCACGAAAGCTGCAACGTTCTTCTTCATGTCGCCAATGTCCCGCACCGTTGCCGCGAAGCGCAGTAGATGTATACTCGGAGGTGGCGGGGAGTAGTCATCAGCAGCAGCAGCAGCAGCAGCTTGGATAAAAGGCGCCTGGTCTCTTGAGACATCGAGATAGTGGAAGTGCAAGTCTACTCGGGGCTGAGTGCTGCTACTGCTGAAGCGGAAGAGGAACTGCCTCAACTCAATGAGCCACTGCCTCGTGGTCGCCTCCGGCACTTGAATGAAGCATCGGCAGGTTGATGCCACGTTGACCAAGTTGAGGTTGCTCAATGGGAAGCCAGCAGGGGAAGTGGTGAAGTTGAGGGTAACCAAATCAGTAGCGTCGATCTCGAACTCGAGCTTAAGCTCCCGCCGTACCTCGCTGCCGAAAGCATCTTCCAGCGTCAGTGTCCTCAGCTTGGGCGCGGACAGCCTCACCCTGCCGCGCCTGGTCACGTCGAGGCAGAGCGTGTCCAGCGAGGGGGAGCAGCGAGAGACGAATTCATGGAGATCCAGCATCGTGAACGCGAGGAACACGCCGAGGATCTTCAGCACCCTGAGATTGGGAGCCGAAAAGGAAGGCTCCACGGCCAGCCCGACTAATCCGCACACGGTGTCGATCTCCAGAGTCTCCAGGACAGGGGCGGCTGTAGCGAGGCGGATTTCTTGGAGATCGGAGAGGCCGCGGATCTGGATGGTCTTCACGCTCTTGGCGGTGGAGGCGATTGCCAGCCTTGATATGCAGCAAACGTCTTCCAACCGCAATGACTCGAGGAGAGGAGCGCTCGTCAGGAAGCTGCGGAGTAGCTGCTCGCTCAGCGCGACGTGGTTGAGATGGACAACCCGAAGCATTCCGAGAGATGACACGTTACTGATGCTGTCTGTGAGATCGCAACCCACGAGATTTACAACTCGTGTGTGCTCGGGAAACGCCATCCCTCGCGGAAACTGGTAATAACTTTCGATGCCTGCTTCAATGGTGAAGTCAACCAGCGGGCCAGGGGATAATGGAGATGTAGATGATGATGATGATGATAGGCAGCGGCAGATGGACAGCAGTAACTGGTCCAAGTAATCGTGGCAAGATTCAGAGACGATTGAGATCCTGAATTCCACCAGTGGAAGCGGAACAAGTAGAGGAAGCCTCCTCGAAGCAGCGGCTACGAATCGGCAGAACGACGCTGCTTCTTCTGCTGCAGGAGAAGGAGAAGAAGAAGAATTGCGCCATCTTCTTGGCGAGAAGAAGCTGCTGGCTCTCTCTTTTCCTACCGAACAAGAATCGCCACCGCCGTGGAACTCCAAGACAGGGTAGCAGCGCCAGAGATCGCGCCATCGTCTGGACAGCAGGCTGGTTCTGGCCGCCGTCTTTGTCGAGTTCGTGGAGCGAAGGATGTGGTGAATGATATCGTCTGAAAGTTGAGAGATCTTGTCTCTCTCATCATCTCTGTCATTTTGTTTACTCCCAAAACATATACAGCTCGCCATTGTTTTGTATATGGGGATCGTGCATGAAACAGAGTGACATGGGAAAACCAGAGTAGAAGGAACCAATAGTGCAATTTATATGTAAGGACACGGCTTAGCATCCTTCTTGTTAATTACAAGGGGAAAACCTTGGTGTACAAGGCAAGCTAATTAATACATACAACGCTAATTAGGAAGAAGAATAGCTACCTTTCCTTCTTTGAATCCGCGCAACTAACTAGTTAGTTTCAGGACTCTAATATAGTAACCCTATGAAATATTGTTTTTTTCCTTTCAAATTCAACTGCTCCTTGTCACTGCAATAATGCCTACGTTATGCGCATCCTAGATTGCCTCTCTGCATCGACCAACGATAAATCTTGCTTATCAATGAAGCCGCAAAGCACTAAAGAGGGAAATTATTCCTACAACAATCCTCCATCGTGTTGACAAAGGTTCAAGCAAGCAAACCACATCAAAATGTTAACAGGTACAAAGCACTTCTACAACACAACAGATTTTGCTGATGGTGAGATTGGACTCCCAAGAATTCGGCTACAACATGATCCCGCCGCAAATTGCTGAAGATTTTTGAATCTGAAGCGAGATATCTCAACAACTGCTTACTGTTTGGCTCAGAAAATGTATGCCGAGGCAAGGGCAGTCAGCACTGTGGTCAGAAGTACGGAGACCAAGTTCACGGCGTTGTTGTCCAGAATGCTGATCCCTGAGATCCTCTTGACCGTCGGTCCAGGTTTTCCAACAACCTGCAAGGACAAGGAAAGATGAACAGGTGTTGAGCTCAGCAGCAGCTTAAATTTTTAGTGGTGCGGTTTCTTTCACAATTTCAGAGAGGAAAATCGTCATCAAAGAGTCAGGCATACTTTCTGACGAACGGTGCAGAATCCACTGAACTGCAGTGTCGCACCAAGTAGAGAATCGATTGTACTCCCACAGAGTCCTGCTACTGCAGACAGTGGTATGACAAAGAGCTGCTTCAGAGCGACATCAAAGGAGCAACTTGTTGTGAGGAATCCCAGGAGCACGAATGCAAGTCCTATGAGACCTCCTGCTGCTGCAGCCGCTAGGAATCCATCTTTAGTCACACCACCATTTGTACCCTTCCGAACAGGCTGATATGTCATTCGAAAGAAAACAAAATCAGCAAATCAGATCTGACAATCACCCAATTACCTAGCATTGACTTTGCGCAGAAATGAAGACTAAACATGCAGGAGCTATCATCCACCGGGAACGTGGAAAGTGATCCGATGAAAATGGAAGGTATCAGCAGAGAATATTCTTCCATCATAACTGGGAAGATATCTTATGACTCGTCATAAGATCGGAAGATCATAGATGTTCTAGACATAATGTTTGATGAGAATTATTGAGAGTGCTAATACCTTGAATGTTGTGATCAATCGAGGCTGTGCATCACTGAGTACCCCAAGCTCGGACGACCAGGTATCTCCATTGCAGCAGCAGTAGTGACCTAGTATTCCACCGATCAGTGCAGTGACGAGAGTAGACTGTTCAGTGTCCAAGCACTGATCCTTTGACCCTGCCAGCTTCCAAATAGTAAGAGCCAAAGCTGAGGCGATTCCACTGTTGGAGAACACTTGTATCCTGCATGTGGAAACAGGGATTACGCATTGTCAAGAAAGGGAGAGACTAAAGCCTTTAGTTCGCAAAATCGACACCATATGCTTAGGCAGCCAAGCAGGTTATGGTTCTTTGCTTAAGCTGGGAGGGAAATCAGCTCACCAGGAAACAGAAATCCATGGCCACATTAAGCCAAGAGCGGCATTTCAGAGATGAGATTTTTCACCTAACATATACTAGTTCATCATTCACCCTAATCTCACAGGATTCCAAGAAAAATGACAGAAAGAAGTGAAGTTCTGAGTAATCATCTTTGGTTTCTTCACAATCAAGAATCTCTCTAATGCAACAGCCACATCCAGATCAAAACCAGAGGAATTGCCTCACAAGTTCTTAATTATCTCAATCGCGGAAAGGAACCAGTTCACAGAGAGAGACGAGACTGAAGTACGAAACAGTACCAATTTCTTTGTCCGCCTTCCTTGAAATCAGCATCGATGCGCCTCTTCTTCTCTTCCCCAACCTTTGTGAGCTTCGAAGAACTGAAGAAGAAGACCAGCAGAATCGCTCCGAACCTGAAACGAAACCACGCGAGAAACGTAACTACCAGAGAGAGCGGGAAGCGAAGCGTATGATTTTCTCACCAACCAAACGGACAGCCAGAACAAGGAGAAATAAGAGAAACAAGATTCAGAGACTGGACCTGTAATTGACCGCGAAGTGAAGAGTCATGACGAGGAATCCAGCGAGTCCGCCGGACAAGTTGAGTGACTTCCTCCGATAAGCTCTGATCGCGACTGCGGAAGATATCAAGACGGCGACCAACGGCTGAAGAAAGACCATCTTCTCCATTCTTCGCGATAGGAATTTGACCGGCGACCAACAGAATCACTTCCGTTCTTGGGAGAGAGCAGAAGTATCTGCGAGATGGAGATGGCGATGGCAATGGCGATGGCGGTTAGTTTTTGGGGTTAGTTAAGAAGTGCGGGCAGTCCTTCCTTTGGCTTTCCCGTCGCTTGGTCTGATTCAGTCAACAATAGGACACTGGACTAAGTGACCAACTTCGCGAGCACTTACCATTAATAATACCAACTTTTAGAAGCCATAACCTCACGTTTTTATCAATTTTCTTCTGAAAAATCAAATACGTTTTCTTAATTTTTATGGTTATCGTAATCTACTCAATCAGCGTAATCTTGTGGAAATGACATAAAAACAATTGTCATTACACCATTGGATCGTGCATCCCAGCATTAGATCCACATTTATGGTTGTGCATTACAAGATGTCTGATCCAACGATATACGTGACAGTAGCCGAATTCGTGAGCCTAACCACTATATCAGTCCGAAGAATATATATATAAAAGAAGTTTAACAAGACATGAGTGGGAGTGACGATTGACGAACCAGTTAGTATTGGTGTACATGATAAAGAGGGTTCTGAAAACTAGTCGGTTATGTACAGCGATCTTTCGACCTGAACAAGTTAAGTAACTTAAGATCAGACAGTGAGAAGCTATGGCTATGGTGAAAAGTAAAGCAACATTCAAGACGTTTAAGAACTTCATCTCCTTGATCATTTTTCGCCTGGTTAGAGGAATGCTGCGTGTAGCCAAAGTGCAACAGTCATTTCACAGGTGAGGGGGTATAGAAAGGTATGATCATCACATTCAACCATGTCTTCCTCTCCCTCTTCCCCTTCCACTGCCCCTGCCTCTCCTTCCTCTTCCTCTACCACCCCGCCGGTCCATGCCATGACCGCCGTCACCATCCCTCTTAAAGTTGAACATGGACATCCTAATGTCGGTTGCTACCGCGTCTTGTGGTCCTCTTTGCACCTGGACGAACACAGACATGAACGAGAATATGAGATCAAGGATTCACAAAGACAATGGTGAATATGAAGTACAGATGATGCGGATAATACGAACATGAGAATCTTCCATGTCGAGTTGGTTTTGGAGCTGCCATGCAAGATCCTCGTCATTGCTGGTATCTGGGAACTCGTTTCTGGTGTGTGGCTTAGCTCCACTGTTTCTATTTTGCCACTCCTCTAGCGTCCAAGTCTGAGATTCTTCCTCGTCATCTCTCCCCCTTCCTCTGTATTGTCCACGGCCTCTGGAGCGCCGGTCGAATTGTCTAGGAGGTGCCATCTTCTGGAGGAGCTTCTGAGCAGCAGCTTGGTTTTGCACAGGTGCTGATTCAGTCACTGAAAATCGCACATACATTGGTGTTGGTATTTGCAAACAGAATCTTAAGTTCACTAGAATTCTAGTTGTAGAGTGAAATTCTGCAACCATGTTTCACCTTATCCTAAACCTTTGATGCAATAACTACACATTCTTCTGGTTGGAACATGGTTCATAAGCACGACCTACCAATACTTTTCCAAAATACCACTCAAATTTGGGATCAGAATCTACACATTTCGACAAACCATCATTCAAACAACCCATAGAGATTGAGATACTAATCCATTGAGCATTGACCATTAGTATAAGAGTGGCACTTCCTTATCCTCCACGTCGAAATATAACATGTCCATAAATGTAGATCCCACCATTTTCTGGCAGTATTGACTTCGTAACAAGTGGAAATCATAAAAAAAAAGATTGGAACGAAAAGTAAGAGAAAAAACTGCACCTTCTTTTGGCCGAATGTATGAGGTGGTTGCCTTTGGTTCATTACTTGCTGCAAGTGGTGCTGGTTTCAGATTGCTAGTGCTGGTACTATCTGCAATGTTTTGAACTTCCTCAGAAGCAGAAGGGAATGTGGACTTGGAGGTAGAAGCAGAGTAACCTTCAAAATTAGCATGTAGTATTCGCTAGTGATTGATTCCCAGAAACAGCTAATCCCATAAGCATCTTCCCACAAGGACACCCCTCTGTGTAATTATTATCTTAATAGTTTAACCTGAACATGGGAGCATCTTCCGTTTCTCGCACCTCAAGACCCTCGGGAATTCTGGTTGCCAGATGATGAGCTACGATTTGTAGCAAATCCCCCATATGGTTTCAAGTAAGTTCAATTTAAGTTGAATTTATTTTAGATATGCAATGGTAGCTAGTTAGGTGAATTTAGATTTTAGTGAACTTAGTATGCAATTTTAAGTATGCAATTATAGTATTTTAGTGAACTTAGCTATCTTCCAACTAAGCGGATTTAGAGACATTTTAGGTCTGCAATTCTAGTATTTTAGTGAATTTAGATATCTTCCAAGTAAGTGAATTTGGATTTATTCTAACCAAATCGCATTTAGCTAATTTAAAAATTGCTTATATATGTACTTTTGCTTAATTAGGTGGATCGGAGCAAATACAAACGGCCACCAGCCCGAGCACTCTTTACTGTTTTATCGTGCTGAATTTGATAAGCCTTGGTGGAACCAGGTAAAAATATTGAATGTCATGATTTTCAATTTATTAGGTGGAGTGGATATAATTTTTACTAATTCCATGAATTTTAATGATTGTAGGCGGTATGGGATCCATATCCAAATGAAGTGGTTGAGTTGCATCGTCTTAGACATCCCGAGGATCAAGAGACATGGTTGTGCAAGGTGCCCTTAATCTGCTGGCACATGGTGGAGTGGCACCTGCCCGATCGATCTTTGAGGCAATATCGATTGGAGCAACCAATTCCAGCATCCCCACCTCAAGGGTTCAGGGAGCTCCACGCCATTGACCTACGCTACAACAAAAAGGATTGGACCCGCAAGCATGAATTCTACATCAACATATGGGAGAATAGAAATCAGTGGGTGGTCCAAGGGGCGCCGGAGACAAGGCCAATGGGGTACCACGATGGCTACATGCGGTGGTATCGGAACTTCACGCTAAGATGGGTGTCAAAGCAAGGTGTTGTTTGGGGCGCAGTGGTAAGTGAATTCCATTTTGGCCTATTTTAGTTAATTTTTGTAGTATAATTACATGCCTATATTAGCTAGAATGTTAATTAACATTATTAGATTTAATGAATGTTAATTTTTGGATTATGATTACATGCCTATATTAGCTAGAATGTTAATTATCTATATTAGATTTAATGAATGTTAATTTTTGGAGTATGATTACATGCCTATATTAGCTAGAATGTTAATTATCTATATTAGATTTAATGTTAGTTAATTTTTGTAGTATGATTACATGCCTATATTAGATGATAGATTTAATGTTAGTTAATTTTTGTAGTATGATTACATGCCTATATTAGATGATAGAAATCATTATTAGATTTACTATTAGTTAATTTTGTACAACAATTTATTAGGTTGACGGTTTGGAGCATGCGAAGCACACCGTCGAGAGTGCACCCACCATGGATGAGCGGAAGACATCTTTTTTGCGCAGGCTTTTCAACAACTTGCTCTGTTGTACCAGAGAGCAAAGGAGGGATGTCATATTATACCCTCCAGTGCCTGCTCCGGCCCGACCTTCATTCCGTGCTGATGAGAGGATTGTGCCCCCACAAGAGCCCCCACGGAGGAGCAGAAGAAGGGTGAGAGAACACATTGAAGAGCTTCGTCCGTCTCAGCAAACTCAACTTCCTCAACCATGGCCACATTGTGAGTGGGCTACTAGTACTGAGGGAACCGGAGGGTCGTCAAGCTATGCCCCGACTCAAGAGCATGACATGTTCACCCAAGCCACCCCTCAGTTCCACCATCAGCAACAAACTACTCAGTATCAGACCCCGCAACAACAACACACATCATCGACTTTCTACCACGCTTCTGGTCCACCTCAGCAACCTCCACCCCCACCACCTGTCTACACTCCGGTGGGTGGTCGGGTTAAGAGGAATCCGCGCACAGTTGTCCAGCGGGCTCGTGAAGAAGGAGGAGGAGGTAGAGAGGGAGGAAGAAGGGCCGAGGAGGTCGTGGAGGAAGAGGAAGAGGAAGAGAAGGGGAAGTGGAGGGAAATGAAGACAACCAGTGAACTATCTATGTCGTTCTAATTTAGTTTCATCTTTTTTTGTTTTCCATGAACTATCCATGTCGTCTAAATTTGGTTTGGGTCTTGTGTTGTTTTCCATGAACTATCTATGTTTCTAAATTTGGCAATCGGATTGTGTTGTTTTCCATTAACTATCTATGTCGGCTAAATTTGGTTGGTTTTTACCCCCATGTTGTAACAAAATGAACAACAAACGCCCTTTATTACAATCACTCAACAAGATTAAAACAAGAAGTCCAAATTAAACATCACAACAACGAAAACTACTCAACAAGATTAAAACAAGGAAGTGAACAACAACAACATCAAGGTTGGTTCGGAATTGGCGCCGAATCTTGCTCTAGAGGTGGACCTGGGCAACGCCTCTTGTCATGACCCGGTTGTCTGCACTTTGAGCAACGCTTTGGACCCCGTCGGGCACGTTGTGATTGGTCCATTTCATTGTGAATCCTTTCGGTCCTAGGACGACCTTTGGTGCGCTTTAAGTGTAACGGTGGGATAATCAACTTCCCATTGTCTACAGGCCAATAAGCTTCATCCGGCAGGGGGCTAAAACTTGACGAGTAGGAGTTCCTGATCGCCTGTTCCGTGTAGTAAGGACTAACCAAACTGTAAGCGCTGAGGGTTATCGACTTAGCTACTGCCATTGCATGTGAACAAGGTACTCTTCTGTTTTGATACTTTTGGCATGTACACTCTCCGGTGCGAGTTTCTACGTGTAGAGTAACGGATTGACGATTATGCCCACGTCTTCCTCCACCCCAGATACCTGTTTGCACAGCAAAAATACCTTCATTGCGGTTGAACAGAACAACTCTGTGCTTACTTGATTTCTCTTCGATCTTCTGCATGCCATCAAATATATGCTTAGCTATTGAATGACCAGCACGCTCCCTCCCTATAGCAGCATCCCGTCTCTTCACAAACCACTCGTTTACCTTCCAGTATGTCATCTCCACTAGGACAGATACAGGCATTGCCCTAATGCCCTTGTAGACTCCATTTATGCTCTCCCCATGGTTGGTAGTTGCAATTCCGAATCTAGCCCCGTTGTCCATGTGAAATGTCCACATGTGCAGATCTTGACCTTCTGCCCATACTGCTCCCGCCCGGTGTATTTGACGGATCGTCTTCATCTTCTGCTCGTACTTTTTTGGTTGATGTGCAACCGCTACAAGACCGGAGAATTAATAATTAATCCATAAGAAATTTCATTTGAACAATAAACCATGAACAAGCACTGAATTACATTATTACCTGCACTCCACAATTGATCTCTTATGTCTTTCTTCTTGCCAAATTTGTGTTGGAAATTGGCTAGGAAGTGACGAATACACCAACGCCATGTCCATCCCCATTCGTCCGGGAAACCACGGACGGCGTGTTTAATCCCGGCATGTCGATCCGATATAATTGTAATACCCATTCTTTGTGTGACGTGGGCGTGTAGCTGGTCAAAGAACCATGCCCAACTTAGGTTGTTCTCCCCTTCAACTAATGCAAATGCTAAGGGAAAAATACTTAAATTTCCATCAACCCCAGTGGCAATAAGAAGAGTTCCTTTATACTTCCCAGTAAGGAAAGTTCCATCAACCTGTTAAAATGAATAATGAGTTAGTAAAAATTGAAATTAGTAAAGTAATGAAATAGTACAATATTTTGAGTCCGTAATATACCTGAATCACTGGCATGCAGAAGGGAAACCCGTCAATGCATGGCTTGAATGTCCAGAACAGACGATGAAACATCAACTCGTTCTGTACTCGAACTTGATCTTCAGTTTCTACGTTGTTGTACCAAGGCACGAAAACCGTCCCAGGGTTGGACTCCTCCATTGCGGACATTAGTCTGGGGAGTAAAGCATACGAGTCATCCCAATCACCGTAGACATCAGCCATGGCCTTCTGCTTCCCATGCCACGCCTTCTTATACCTTATGGTGTAGGAGTGTCGATCCTTCACCTCCGCCATGATAGCTTTTATCTTGATATCTGGTTGTGCCTCGATAAGGTGCTTAATGGTTCTTGCCATTTTTTTTGCTTTCAGTTGCCGGTGATCCTGTGAAAGTATGGTTGAGGAGCAACTGTGGTTGTTCTCTACTGTCCGCATGACCCAGACCCCCTTTCTCTTCATATATGCAGCACGAAGTTGCCACATACAACCCTCTCCAGCATTCTTACAAATGACATGCAGTTGTCCCTTGTCAGAATATTTTACCTTCCATTCGAAATTACGCCGCATGGCTTCTTCGCTAAAAGCGTCTTGCACATCGGCTTTCGAAGTGAACGCCATACCCACTTCCAAATTAGCAGTCGGATTATACACAGGCATGGGCCGAAAGTCAGGGGCATCGTTCTGACCATATAAAAATTGATCAGGAACCTCTGTGTAGTAAGGCGTTGGTGCCTGTCGGAACGCCACCTCACTGTCATCGATATCGTCGTTATCGTCCGTATCTTCCTCCTCACTGACTGATCTCAAATCTTCCTCACTTTCATCGTCACTGGAGACGAATGGATAGCTCGGCGAAGGATGGTCATCGTTACCAGCATAACCAGCATCACCTTCTTGGTCATGCGAAGTACGCCCAGATCGAAGGGTGTTTTCAATGTCACCCCACTCTGGACCCCAAGCAGGCCATTGATCACTGTCGGGCTGAACGATATCAACGGCAGTCTCACCACCATGTGGCAGGTATTCTTCCCACCCAACACCTCCTCCGTAGTTGCTTGAAGTACCTCCCCAACCATACCCTCTGGCAGAAGAACCTGCTCCGTAGTTACTTGAACTACCACCCCAGCCATACCCTCCTGCAAAACCATCATCATAAGAATACTAGTGAGAATGAG